GACAGCGCGCTGGGAACGAGCCCGTTACACCCAACTTTGGGGAAGCCCCAGAAAACGCCAATCCAAACCAAACCAATCCACGCAGAAAAACGCGGCTCGGGGAAGCTGAGCTCAGCTCCCTGTATTCCAGGAGCGGAATCCCACCGTCCAGTTGCCCCCCTGGCTGACGCTGAGCCGAAGCCTCGGAAAAGCCGCGCTATGACACATCGGTCTTTGCGCAGATGACATTTGGAGCAAGCCCAGCCAACCCGGGGGGGGGGGAGGAGCGGGGTTCGGGGTATGTTTCTCCAACTACGCATTCCCTTGGCTCGAGTTGTTTTTTCCCCAAACAAGCGACGTCTCTAGGGTTAAATGCACTCATTGCTTTGACCCGTCCAAAGGGCGGCTACAGCAGACAGGGACATGCCCAACAAGCGGAAGCGCGAGACAGCAACACACATGCATGCATGCGTGCGGAATGATTCTGAATTGCCAGGGTTCCATTTGTTAGTCACCCCAACTAAGCCTCAGGAAATCAACGATCCCTGTTTCTGCGTTTATTTTGAGGCGTCGCTTAGAAATGTCCTCTTGTTTGCTGAACAGCGTGAGCACTGCAGATGCACGGAAGCTTATGCGTGATCAAGATGTGCGTCTATGCAATCCCCCCCAAATCAGGAGATTTTGCAGCCTTACCTTTCGGCGGCTTGAGGTTTGGATGGACCTCTTGGCTTGTTTTGCAGCCATGGATTCGAGCCCGTAGCGTCTTTTTTCTACCACCGGAGTCGCTTGCCACAGACGAAGAGACCAGCATGCAAGTGTTGCCATTTGGAGGCTGCATGGTGAACCAATCCCTCTGGGCTTCCATACCCCAGACAACTCTGTTTGGGTGCGTCTCAAAATGGTGAACGCCTAAAATGGGATTCGTCCTTTCAAAGCACCCTGAAGAACCTCCAACTACCCTTAGAAAATCGCATGAGTTGGGCTGCGATTGCCCGCTTTGAAGGGCAGGGTCCAGGCACCCATTCGGAGGAGTCGCCCACTTCTTTTTCGCCACCTTGCATTTGCCTGAGGCGCCAGCGAGCTACTAGAGTGCCTCGGAAGTCCGAAAGATGATGGGGGATTCAGTCATTTCCCAACAGCTTTCGGGGGTGTTCCGGGGGTGTTGGGGATACCACCTGGCTGACCCCTTTTGGTTTGATGAACACAAACGAAACGGGCGTCCGTGCTCTTTTGTGATGGTACCCTTTGTGGGGTTGGTTTACAGGTGAAACCGACAGCTTGTGGGGTGGTTTGAAGGGACACCAAAATTAAGCCGAGCGCGTTCCCTTTGAGACGCGCCAATTTGGAAAGGGGCTGTGTGAACATCAACAAAACTGTTTCCACGTGGGTTTCCATATCTCAAACCGCTTCAAAGGCGCCCCTGGTGGGGCAATCGGCATGCCCATGTGTTGCAAGGTTTGGAGCTGGGAAGTTTGTCCAGCGAAGACCGGTAGCTTAGCTGCTTTGTTGTAAGAATATGTATCCAGCCCTGACGGTGGGAAATGGGGGTTTGGGGGATGTCCATTTCTGTGATACCAAGGGACTCCCCCTTGAAGTGATCAAGTAGTCCTTAGATGTTGGTCGCAGCACCTGTAGCACTTGAGATGCCTCCGAACTGCAACTCGGTGTTTCGCTGTTGAATCTCACCTGCCTACTTTGGGGGGGGTACAGCAGGCTCGGAGTAAAGCAAGTGAAAGCCATGGTTCAGGTTCTTGACATGGGATCCAACTTATTTCAGGCGGTGGGTCATACTCAGCACGAATCATATACACCATGAGTGCATCAGGGCAGCCATAATCAAACACCATCCAGCCAACAGTAGAAGCTACCAGGCGCTGGAATGATTGTAACAACAATGCAGACCGCTCCCTTTGGTGGAGTGAAGTTCAGAGCCGCAATCACAGCCAGGACATGTGAAGGGGCTGCCCTTTGGTACCGGGTTTTCATGGTGACGCCGCTCCTTACTGGAGGGACCTTCGGGTCATGGTTCCACTCTCCAACATCGGGGCTTCCTTTTCCTTCGATTTCCCGCTTTGGTGGAACTCTGTTTGAAATGAGTTTCCTTCAAGGTGCAAAGAGGACATCTCAGCCCTGATGCAAGCTGGCGAAAGGGCCGATCCCCCTCACCCCACCTTCCTAGTGCTTGGTGGACACGCATCCTCTGCGAAAATGTTGTCCGCCAAGGGCTTTCTGGGGTCTCCCGGTTCTTCACCCTTAGGCAGGAATTTAGGCAACGAGTAAGAGTCAGAAAGTATGTTGTTTGCAGTAGCCGCATGTCCTACGATAAGGGTTCCACTTCAGATTTTCCCATGGCATCGAGGCAGGGGCGATAGCTCACCTCGAAAGATCGGGGGATTCTTTGTTTGCAAGTAAATGGACCATAGCATGGACCATATCCAACCACACGACCCGGGGAAGTTCCAGTGACCGGCGGTGTTCCCCTTTTTCCCCTGGCAAAAGTTCGATTTGTCTCACCCCGAAGCTCCCTTTGGGGGACTTGGCAATATGTGGGGACTTAGCATGGTTTTGGGTATGGTCCACCCTCCCTGCCCCTTTACCCCAATGATTTCCCAGCATGCAGGGCTCCATTTTTTTTCCATCTTTGCTCCGGGTCACTCACTGCCGACTTTTGGACCTTCTCGTATTGCTTTCTGGCCCATTTTTAGCCTTATATGTTTTGGGTCCTTTGAGCAACTGAAATCATCATTTTTTGGGGCTACTTGTAGATGTGCTTCTAGGTGCAGCGATGCCGGACACATCTGGCTATGAATCTTCATGCGGAGTATTCTCCCAAATGGTGGGACACACATCGAACTTCATTAAATTTCTCCCCAAGTCCGGGAGCCGTTTTTTGTTTTTCCCCCGCTGAACCATGTGGACCGCTTCTTTCGGGTTGTTTCTGGGCCCATGTCCCACCGGCGGGCGCGGCGCCAGTGCCGAGGATCGCCTCCCCGCCGGGGCAGGCGCCGCTGCTCAGCACGAAGGCCGGCCCGGCGTGGTGGGGGCCGGCTGGCCGTCTTTTTCCCCCGCGTTCTGAGAAAAATACCTGGGCTCTTGTTGACTTGTTGTTTTTTAGACCTGGGTTTGGTTTTCCACGTTTTCTTTGCACAAACAGTGCGGACAGGACTTTGTCCGGCGAATCCACGCAGGAAGTGATCTGCGTAAATTTGGGCTGGCTGAAAGAACAGCTCTAGAAGGTTCACCAGCGAATATACATTCCCAAGAGGAAGCAGGTTCTGGGACGCAGCCTTCCAGGAGCCCGGCTTATACCGTCAGGGTTCCGGTACGACACACCCCAAGCCACTTTTATCCTGGGAGCCTCTGAATCAAGGTGATGTTTTGATTGGCACCAGTGCGTGCTTCAAGGGGCCCTGTTTTGGGGGGATCCTCCCAAATTCAGTCTGGGCCATGGCAGACAACTTCTCTGACCTCCTCCAGTGGCTCTTGTTCCTTGGTCAACCCCTTCAAAATGGGTATGTAGAAAAATAGGCGGGACCCCACAACTGGTAGCTTTTCCGTGTGGTTTCCCTCTACAACCCACAAGTCAACTGGCCAAAAAAGGTTTGGCCACTGGAGGTTTGGATTGCACTGAGCATCGCCCAAAACTGTTGGCAATTGCAGTAGAGTCTGCGGCATGGTTCAAATGGGGGTAAAATGAGGCCTATACTTCCTTTTGCTTAAGAATATGTTTAGGACTACTGGACATATTTTTTGTATTTTCCCCGAAGGTATACAAGCCTCTATAGCCCTGTTAGTACCAGAAAGTCAATGGGGTTTGAGGCGCTCAATTTTGATTGAGTTCCTCAACGCCCAAAAAAGGGTCTCTGAAAATGGTAGCCCCGTTTTTGGACGGTTTCAAATGGAAACCAAAAGGAGAGGTTTTCTATATATTGAGAAGCACGCAAAAGGACATAGATTGGCTTTGGACATGTGGCTGCGTCAAAGGACAACTTTTTGAGCGGTACACCTTTTCCATGGAGTGAGTCTCAGAATACAGGCCCCCTCAACTGGCCCGTGTCCATTTCTTGCGCCGGAAATGAAGCATCCAAAAAGGGGTCCGCCTTTTTGCAAAGCCCTATGTTTCTTTGCTTGTTTTCCAAGAGCGGTTCAGTGTTTCAACCTGGTCGCTGGGCAACTAGGAGTTCACAGGAACGTGGCCATGTCATTGTGTCAAATGGGTGTCCTTTTTTGGGTGCGCCCAAAATGGGTGTTGGGGTCATGCTCTGCAATACCAAGAAACTTCCCGTCACATGAACTACTTGTAGCAGGGGAATCAACCAAATTGGTCTCACAGATTTCGGGATTCCATTTTCTTTTCACAATTCGTCCACTGAGCCGCTCGCATTCGAATTCGCAGGAGCTTCAGCAATGCTTCCGAATGTTGCTCAAAGACAGCCGCCCGAATCCTGAGATCGCGGCGCCTCGGCTGGGCATCGGCTTGGCGCGCCCAACACCCCGCATGCGTCATTTTTGCGCGTGGCTGAAAACAGGAACCCCGTCCATATATGACATACGCTTAGGGGTGGCTAAGTACGTATATTCTTATCATCATGCCAAGGCTGGTCCCCCCGCTGAAAAGGTCCCACCACCCCCAGAATTAGTGGCGTGCCTTCTGGTTTGCTCCGAACCACTCCTTAAAAGGGGTATCGTCGCCCATTTTGGTGGAAGGCTAGCGACTGGATCCCGCCTTTTCAAGAGGTGTTTGCCAAAACCCTCTCCACCCAGACTTTTGGTGGGTCGCTTCCTGTTTTTCTTGGGTTTCCCTTTCAAAGCAACTACCAAGAAAGGGTTCCCTTTTTTTTTCTGGGGCCACGGGTCGAGTCATCCATGCTGAGAGGGTAATCACCTGCTTGAAAGGGGATTCCGGAAGGGCTATACCGGTATGACTTTTACTTTGGAACCCCTGTGGACAGCACTTACGTGGAAAGTTGTGTCCACCAACCCATGTTTGAGCGTGCTTTTCCTGGAAATTCATAGCCGCTCTGGTAATTTTGGCCAGGCGTCTACCTGGTTGAATGGGGGCTATACTGGCGAACCCTGGGTTTCCTTTCGGTGTCCCTTTGTAAACCAACCTGAGAAGGGCGGACACTGCCATAGGGATCTTTATAGCGCTACCACCTTGGTTTGCTGCTTAGCCGGCAATGGCTCACGTGCTTCTTCTTTGCGTCAGCTGGAAGCCGAAATGAGCGCCTGAAGTAAGCCAGCCCAAAACCCACCCTAAACTGCCCCCCAGCCCCAAATCAGGGCAAGCACACGCTGCTCCAATCAGCCCGGTGAGCCTGGGGATGCATTCCGCAAGACTAGCCTTAGGAGAAAGCAAGAAAGCAAACACCTCCACTGCATAGCAGCCAAAGTGTTCAGTGGTCTGACTCCCAGCAATCAGAGACATGGTTGGTGGAACAGCAGGTTTGAGGCCGCGAGACACCCCTTCAATTTGACAGCGAAAGGAACCAACCACTTTATCACAGCAGGAGTCATGTTTTCACAACGATCAAGGACATGTGCAGAAACAGTGAAGAGCAGTTCTTACCTTAGGTCTACCAGCTGGACAAGGTGCTCTCAAAGGCGGGTTCGATTTGGGGCAAAGGACATGGCGCCTCTGCAAGCGCTCAACCAAGCACCAATTCTGAAACGTCGGGCCAGGGAGCAGCATGCCACGATGATCTTTGCGGTACCTGATGTGTTCTCAAAGATACAGGATGCTGGACACGAGCAGTGTTGAGGGAGCAAAGCTTTACCGAATTTCGGTAGTTTTTCACAGGATTCAACTATATAGCGTGTATGCAGGCTGTGCACGGTGATTCTGCTGTTTGCGCTATCTCCTCTTCAAGCGAGTCGTGCAAGGACTTGACGGGGCAAGGATTTTGTAACCTGAACCCTCAAACTACCCTTGAACCTGGGTGAATGCCCCAAACACATTGGCCTTAGCTTTTTTTTAAAATGAGACTGGGGCAGAAAGCGCTTTCTTGGTGAGAGGCCAAAGCTGCCTATGATCATGCATCTGTGGGGGACTGCTTCATGCTGAAGCCGGACTCAGCGCCTTGGTTCTGCACTAGGCAAGAATTGAGCGCCGAAAATCCCCGTCCTTTGGCTGGCATTGGCCCATGGATGTCGTGGGAGCCAAGGAGTCGGGAATGTTTAAATCAGTGTCAAGTGGGGAGCTAAGCAGCCCCAATTGCCACCACAGCTGGTTTGACATGGGTTGCAGCCAGGGCCAAAGAAACCTTTAAAAGCAATCGGCAGAACCCAAAGTCAAGAGGCATGGGCGCTGCTCAATCGGGTTAGTGTGGTGTGAAGGAAATAGTTGCTTTTGTTTGTTTGGCATGCGAAGCAGCGGCAACTGTCATACAGCAAGAACAGCAGCGGCAGCAGCGGAGGTGGCAGCAGCAGCAGCAGGGCTGAGGACTCAATGGCCCACATGGCCCCACGGGACGAAGTGGCGAGTGCCGAACGCAGCTTACCGGGCAGGTGCTGTCGGCCTCGGAGCGGGTCACGCGGCAGTTTCTGCAGGCGCTGGACGAGCGGCTCTCGGAGCGTGCGGCCAGGCCGGGCGCATCGCGGTTGGGCTTTTGTTTGGCTTTTTGGTTGGGTTTTTAGTGGGGTTTCCGTTTGGCAGGACACAGCTTTGGTTGGGAAGGTCAAGTGTGGGATTGCCCTCCCACCAATGAGCATGGACCTGGCAGGGGGGTCCTGGAAGACAATTTTCGTTTCAAAGGGCCCTCATGTCAGGTTCCATATGTGAGGGGAGGGTAATCCGGAGAACCCTACTGGTCAGAGGAACAAACAAAAGAAGTATGAAGTGAATTTCCTTACTGAAATGGGAGCGACGCCTGATTAGTACGACCCCAGAATCAATCCGAAGTTGGCATTGTTTAAACGAAACCAACCATTGACCCCTTTTCGTTGGTTGGTCGACCCATTTGGGAAGCTCACCAATTGGTGGGCGTGACCGTTTTTTTGGGGGGCCCAAAGCGCATCAAAATTCGGGGCTTCAGGTTCCAGCTTTTAATAACAGGCCAAAGCTTAAGGTCTCAAGCAAACCCACCGCTTCCGCAGGGGCGGCAGCTACAAGATCGAGGGCATCTTCGGGGATGCCGCGGAGGTGACCCCCTCCATGTTCATCCGGACACTTCCGATGCAGACTGAGATCCCCCCAAATCCCCTCCATGCAATTTTAGTAGGTGCGCCTATTACCAGGGTTCCTGAAAAGGCAGAGAAAAAAAAACGTCCCATGTACCAGCTGCTTTAGAGGTTTCCCTGGGAAAAAGCGCGGCAGTCCTTAGGTTTCATGCAGGTTGTGGTATGGCCTACATAAACCTGCACAACCATGTGGGTAGACCTAGAGGCAATGGGGTGGCGCGCTCAAGCCTCAAGCTTCTTTTTACAGCTTCTGTTTGTTTTTTACCCGGTTCGGCAAAAAATTGTTTCGGCCAGGGTCTCTGCCGAAACGCCTGATTTCGGTCGGGGTGCCCTGCAACACCCAACCGGGTGAGGTTTCTTCCCTTTCCCCCGGACTCAGGAAAGCTATCTCCATCGCTCTGAGCCCTGACATGATTCCGGCAGAGAAGGCCGGGGGCAAGTGGCGACCTGTGAGGCACTTTGCGAGTCCAGTGGCTTGAGGACGGTCTGTTTGGGAAGAAAAAGGCCATGTCCAGCCTGGGCAGGACTTGGCGATGAATTTGGCGCAGATTGGAGGGGCGCCCAACGGCAACATGAGCAGGCGCGGTGAACAACGAAATTCGAGGGATTCAAGTGTTCAAATGTGTGTAATACATCTATGTACATAATATTATTTTACCGGGAGTCTCTAGCTACCTTGAATCCTTGGGGAAAATGTCAAAAACAACATTCTTTGTCGAAACACGTTTAACACAAATACCCATTTCTTGGTATATTTGAGGCGTTGCAGCGTTGTTGTTCACTGTGCAGGCTTGCTAAATCTGCAAAGTGTACTAGATAGCCCAATGAAATCGTCTCGTGCGTTGTTTGTAGATCGAAACAGTTTGGAGCACATGGCCAAAGGCCGCGTAGCTTTGGACAACTACGGAAACATTCCCATTGAGCAGCTACAGGATCTGCGCCCACCCGTTTCCAATTATTGCGACAACAATTTCTCATTAAAAGTGTACCTTCTTGAACTCTACTAGAACTGCGCATTGCGCACTGTTGTTGGCCGTGAAGGCCAGTTCTTGCCGTGAAAGTACGTTCGCAGCAATATGCCTTGACCAATGCCACGCTGCCTGCTAAAGCAACTATATAATTTCCCTGACCGACATCTGTTCGGCACAAAACCTGATAAGAAGCATGCAAAACACTGGAGTTCGCAGTGTTCTCGAAATCCCAGGGTTGGTGTGGATTTCTTCAAGTCATTGTTTAACGAATTACTTCTAGAATGTCCATATGCTGAACTATCAACTACACACCCAACCAATCTAGATCTTGAATCGTGAATCCAGTATGGGGCCCCCAAAACGCTTCAAAGCGCAAAAAAACAACTGTTGGATCTAAAACTCAAGATTCCGAGGACTTGTTCTCGAATCTTGAACCCATGAGCTACCGGGAGAACTGCGCTTTCGTGCGTTTTGGGTACCCCATACTGGATCATATTTAGAGTCCTTAGATTCAACAACGCTTTAAAGTGCTTTAACGCGCTTTGGCGGGCCCATACTGAATTCAAGATTCAATGTCTAGAGTCCCGGAAATCTTGAATCTAGATCCAAGAGCGCTTTAACGTGCTTTAAGGCTATTCTGGCCGGACACAAGCACAGCAAATGTGCAAACGCGGGCGCAATCAAATTCTCCTGGGGCGCAGGATTTGGGGCGGGGGGGTCATATATATATATATATATATATATATATGTATGTATACATATGGTTTGTGGTGTTCCCGGCAACCAAAATGACCAGGTTTTTGGCGTACCCTAGGCCAAGTCGGTGGAACTCCAAGTTGCCGGCTCAGGCCGATGGCCTTCCGCGTGCTGGCGCTGGCACGCGAGTACAAGCGCCGGCAGAGGGTGCAGAACATGAAGGCAGGAGTCCTGTCCACACACTTGGCTGCTATTGGGTTGGATCTTTAGACTTCAACTTTTTGGGAAATAAAGGTGTTGTCCACTAAACCCCCAAACAGTTAAACTTTTTTGCAGGGGGGTCAACGGCAACCAAGCACACAGACATGTACTGCAACAGGACACCGAACGGCTTACTGCTGAAAGGGAATCCCAACACTCCCACAAACGCAAGGAACGGCCTACCAAGGCTTCCCTGTGGCACAGGGCAGTCGTGCCTTCTGAACGACTGGTGAGTGAACAAGGGAGACCCCAAAAGTGGTTCCGGATTCCTCTTCGAGGTATAACAAATAAATCCGCCAAAAAAAGCAATTACCCACTGCTTGCCAGGGTTTTGGCAGAACCTGTAGAACTCACTACCATTTGAGATCTTCTTGTGGTCAACAACAAGTGGGACTGGACTGTCTTTGGGGGTTGGCCCCCAAAATTGTGGTTCTCCTTTGCTTACCCCTTGAAAACAGACCAAAAAAAGGAGCATCCGAAAATGATAGACCCAAGCCTTTGGGCCTCTGTGCGACCAATCCACTCGGTTTGAAATCCGTTGGAATTTCTAAAGGCCGGCCGACTTGAGGCGCGGTCTGCGCTCCTGGCGCAGCAGTCCCTGAGGCCAAAGGGGGGAAGGGATGGGCCATAGAGCCTTCCGGCGTCTCGGATGATGGGTCGGTCTTTTTTTGAAGATGCTCTTTTCTTGTGGTTGTTTAAGGGAGGGAAACGGTTGGAGCACCCTCCCAAAATGGTTGGTGAACATCAAAATCCCCGCCGATTTGTCTGATGTCCATCCTAAAACAGGTCCCCAACAAAAATAATTACAGTATGATCATGCTTGTAGTAGCATGTAGTAAGTATTAGTCCCCTAGGCTATTCCCACTTCTGTCACTTCTTTGACACCAGAGAACCTCCCCCTCAAAGGGAACAAAGTCAGGAAGGCCGTGTCAAGCAAGTCCGCGGTTCCCACAAGATTTGCTAAGATCTCATCCACAATGCACGATCATCTGGTTTGATGGTGAGCGATTCTACGATTGTTTTGTTCTTCTTCTTTTTTCTTTTCTTTTTTAAACGAGCGATTAGCCATGATATTCCTTGACTGGGATCGAATTGTTCTTGCAGGTTTCAAATAGCATTGTTTGCAGAACTGGCGGATTTGTCTCAAAAGGGGACCCCCCACGATAGTAGGTTTCTTCTTGGCGTGCCTTTGAAAGCAATCAAGCACGAGTCTAAAAAGACAACGGCGACCGGTTGATCGTATAAAACACCAGCAGGAAGTTCGCCCCTCCATGTTGCCATGGAACCTGACTAGCAGCTCCTGGAAGACCATGTTCCTTTGAAGATACCTTCTTGCCGGTTCCATGTTAGCGGGTGGCAGCGCAGGAAATGATCCTAAAACCAGGGTATTGTGGATTTGTGATGTGATTTCATCCCGTTAGTTTTGTATTTAACTGATGGCAGATACAGGTGCAGAACCCGTGCCCGCCCCCGTCATTTCAGTTGGTTCTTGTTCTTTTCAAGCACCATCGATTCCTGGGTTTTGTTCATAGTTTGATGGAAAGATACGGATCGCTGGGCGGATGGGGAAGTCACCTACCGCGGTTCTGCCTCTGTGTCGGTGCAGCCCAGAATTCAAGAAACCAGCTACAGACATTTCTGGCCAGATAGATTTTCGTGCAGCAGGTTTCTTAGATACTGATTGGGGCCTGGAGCTTCTTTAAGGGGACACAGGCAAGCCTGCCCTTGTCCACATCCATCCGTGGCCATGGTAGCCTTTGGCCAAAGTGAGCTCACAATCTGATTGTATGCGCCTTGGTGATTTAATACCTTCCAGACTGCACCAATTCCAGGATTCCCCTTGAAAGCATGCCAAGCATGCCACGCTCTTAAGAGAGCCAGTAGACATCAGGGGGCCAAGTCTAAGCGGATTCTAATTAGCTCATTTCAGCTTGCACCGAAGGGCAATCGTGAGTCCAGCATCCTAGAATCCATTTGTTAGAAGCCCATAGGATCACGCGAGATAGTCATAGAAGCCAGCAGCCAGCTTCAATGTCTGCAGGAAATCGACCAAACAGCCACCAAAACAAGGAATTCCTGAAGGAGTTCTTTCTTGTGCATGTTGTCCATTAAACAAAAACAAAGTGGTTGGGTGAGCCCATCATAGCTTTGCTCGCCGGGCGATTGGTCCCTAGGAGCGCTTGGTGCCCGGAGGGGAGCCGCCCCAGCTCCCGGCGAGGCGAGTCGTGAAGCGGAATCCGTGCTCCAAGATCTGTTTTTGGGAAAACCCACCTGGACCCGTCTCAGAGAAGTGGACCATTGGTTGTTACCTGTCTTTTGACGAAGCGGTTTCTTTTTCGGTTTGTCTGTTCAACCAAAAGGGTGTTCCCAGCTCCCCAAACATGGAACCAAGCCCACCTCTTACTTGCCAGCGGCTCCTTTTGGCAGACTGGCCTAGGAAGTCTAGTGATGCGGGCTTGATGTTGAGAGTCCGAAGATTGGGCGGCGATTTGGTCGGACACACTTGCGGTTGTCTAAAAATGTGTCAAAATGGGTCGGGGTGCAAACATGGTTGGTCCCCACAAAGGACATCCTCAACAAAGCACCACGAGTTTGCTTTGTTTCAGGCTCGGTCGCCATTTTTGGGGGGTTGTTTAGAACGTGAATCCAGAGGCAAGCTGAAGCCCATGTTCCGAAATGTCACCAATTTTCTTTGGAGAGCTCAAAATTCTCGCCTCTGCCTTGCCCTATTCGGGAACAAAAAGCAGGGCACTGGGAATTCCGACGACGTCGTGCGCGCACTCGGAATCAGCGGCCAGGGCCGCTCCACCCGCCGCAGCTTCGGAAAGGCCGGCGGCAAGCGAAGGAGGGAGGGGCGTGTAGATTGTTTGGGCCTTGGTGTCCCCGCCATTTTGACACGCCAGTCTGTTGGATGAACACTGGGGGATTAGGAGACTCGTAGCCCGACAGGGAATGCAAGAGGAACAGGTACTCGTTTGGGTGGGGGCCCTGTTTGAAGGCACGCCCACTTGTTGGATGTACCCAAAATGCAAACTAACGAGTTTTTTTTTGAGTTTTTTGTGTGAGGGGGGGGGAACCCGACATAGGATAATTTCCCAATGAGGGCGATGCCAGTGTTCTGTATTTTGAACAAGCACCCGGGTTAGAGTCTACAGCAAGGGGCTTTTTGGCCTGCACTCGCAACCAGGAAACCCTTCGGGAAAAAAAATCAGGGGTTTCATGGGGGGCTGGGGAGGGAGGGGAGGGGGAGGGAGCCTTTATTAAGCCTTTAGTAAGGCCTTATTTAGGGCTTATGTGCGGCTTATTCGGGCTCCCTCCCCCCCTTGATTACATCTTTGCCCTTGGAACATATATTGATGGCAGCGATATGTGCAAATCCCAGGTGTCTGAGACAAGTTGGCCCTTGGGCTCCGGCAGATCCCGTACAGTGCAGATATTTTGACATTGTGTTGCAGGCAGCTTGGTTGCTTGATCCGACCTTCTGACAGGTTTGGCCTCCCGACTCTTAGTTTTGGTTTTGGTCAGTTGCCCCCATCATTGCACTTGAGTGAATCGCTGGAACGCGTGCCCTATGTCCCTTCATTGACAGCGCAAACATCAGCGGTGTTCCTTTGGACCAGTTTTGGTTTCCTTTGGACCTCCCAGGTTCATTGGTACCGTTGAACTTGACCTCATGGACGCCTAGTGGCCCCAGGGCAACTTCCACCCGGACCGATTCCGCTGTGCGGCATCGCCTTCACTCTATCCTTCGTTTAAGAGAAGACATTGGAGAGTGCTCACCTGGACTCTCAAACAGCACATGACATGTCGCAACGGTCGCAACCCAACATGATGTCCCCTTTGACAGGTAGACCCATATCCAGAAAGGGACCTTTCTGTCACACAGCAAGGGAAGGACGTCCGTGCCCCTCGTTTTTCAAACAGCCTGCCTCAGGTGCTGGGCAGAGTTGGAACCAGACCCAGTTTCCACACAATAAGTTACCTGAATCCTCAAACTACCCTCAAATCAAAGGGTAATCACTCGTCATTCTGTGGCAATATCCCTACTTAGAAGGATGTTTCTAGGGTCCAGGTACATGTGAGGGTGGGAACAGAGTCAGACAATCCGAGCGTGTGACCTGCAACAAATGCCCCACTTGTTTGAAATCACTGTTTTGACGTCAATCCTGGGCCAGAAAAATACGGCGGGATGCTTAAGAGAAGTTTGAGGATCCAGGTAAATCTGCGCCAGTTTGGAGTTTGGAGTGGTTGTATTTTGAGGGGCCCCTTCTCAAAGTTGCCTTAGCTTTGGTGCATTTTGCTTGGATGTCAGGACTTTAACGTTTTGCCAACTAACGGGTTTTCCATAAAACCACTAAAAGCTAAGCTTGTAGCGAAGCAGAAAGAAACCGACTTGGGTCCTCCGAAATTCTGCTCGCAGCCTTCCGGGTCGCCGCCTTCGTGGAGTGCCTGGTGAAGCTGGCGCTGCACCGGCTCGGCTCGAAAGGCACGGCTCATGGTGACACGCAGGGACCCTCAAAATGGATTCCGGTTTTCCGTTTGGTTTTCCGTTTAGAGCAGGCCTTAAAGCACACACACACATGCGAATCTCGCCGCGGGGATGGGGAGGGGAGTGATTTCCCGTGTTCAATGGGTATGTGTGTTTTGTTTTCAGGGTATCCTTGGATTAGTTTGGATTGTTTGCAAAGGAAGCCAAAACAAAGCCATTTTAGGCGAACCCTTGTGGAGCTCCAAAACCGAATCCCAAAAGGGCCATTCTAGTAGGTGGTTTGTTCATTGTTGCTTGATTTCATGAGGGTAGAACCAAAAGTCAATGGTTTAATTAGGGCTTTGCTAAATTGCCCAACTGCGATGCGCATGTGTCAAAATAGGTGGGACCCAACACATGGGTGATTAGTTGTTTTTGTTTCCTTTGAAACCACCCAAAAAGGGTACCGAGACCTCAAACAAGCCCAGGTATCCGCAATAGCACCCCCCGAACCCCATCCGGAACATTCCGGAATCCTAGCCCAAAGCCGCAAAGAAGAAACCCATATTTTGGTGTGGCTTTTTTAGGGGACCCCCCCCCCTATATATATATATATATTTGTATATATATACATATAATAAAACAACAACAATCGTGGGTTTGAGGTGGGAAACCAACAGGAAAAAACATATTTTTTGAGGGTCCCGCAAAAAAGAAAAAAAGAAAACAACACCCCCTGATTCGTAGTCTCGCGCCTTTCCGTTGGGTGTTTGATTGATTCGTTTGCGCAGGGCTGTTGGAGCTGCAACGTGGGGCGCCCACCTGGTGGAAGTGCACCTGGCTGCTGAACTTCCTGGGGATCCGCTTCATCGACGCTTGCCGACTTGAGACGACTCGCCTTGTTCGAGTACTCGAGAGGGGACCGGACAAAAGGTGTGAGTTTTAGCGCTGCAAAGAGTAGAAAACACTGCAAATACATTTTTTTCAAAGGGTCATTTTGGGCGATGTCCATCTTTCAAGGGCTGTTCGAAGGCGGGAATCCAAAAAAGAATGCCTGAAGGTGAAAACCTGGTGCCAAGCCAAAAGGGAGCGACTGGGCCAAGTGGCCACGAATTGTTTGGTCACAAAGGTGGAGTTTGGGGCCATTTGTGTTTGGTGGGTTCGGTGCGGAACCCTCAAAATTACACCCAGAAAATATTCATCTTCCGAACAGGAAACTAAAAGGGGGATTGGTGTCCTTTTTCCAGGCTTAACGTGGCTTGGGTCAAATAAAAGGAAACCGCCGCCAAAAATTGGAATCCGGCGAACATGGACGGGCTCCAAAGGTTTTCTCCTTTGGCTTCCCTTCAATTTCCTGAGCTTTCAGAGACCAGAAGGGCACCCAGAAACGCAGATCCGTTGGATGTCGGGTCGGCTTGTCCCGGCAAAACTGGCTTACCCATGGACTAGGTGGAATGCGGAGTTACCTGCTTGCCGGACTAAGCTTACCTGTTTGACTTTTGGCCCTTTTGGTTTTCTTCTTTCCCTTTCAATCAAAAGCTGCCGGTGGGCCTTTGGAGCGATGTGAACTCAGCATCAACTTCTACACCTATTTGCTTCTAGTATACCTATCTTGGGAGGTTCTCGGAAGAGGAAGTTGGTGTGCCCCAAGAAGTCGTAAAACAAAGTCGTAGATACGTCAGCGGAAAAACGTAAATGTTGCGTAAAGATAGTATATGTTTTGTGAATTCAATTCGTTTAGCGATGTGTTTAACGGTGTCCGGCGCCCGCTGCCTTCAGGTGGGAGAACTTTGCGTTTTTCGGAGGAGAGGGGGCTGAACGGCCAAAATCGTCCAAAAAGCAGAATCTGAATCACAAATGATTCGGAAATCGCATTGACATCGTAAATGTGAATCATGAAAGAAAACGTACTGAAGCCAGAAGACATACCGGAAAATTGCCAATTCTGCTGATAGCGTAGGTCACAACTTCGGATTTTGAAAAATCACGCCTGCGAGATTGTCACGCAGATCCTGTTTTTGGAGGGGGACAAGGACCTTGTTGGGGGTTGGGTCAAACGGAAAGCAAAGGGACGTCAATGCCCATTTGTGCGTGAGCTTGCAGTAGCATGTGTTGGTATTGCCACATGGGCCCCAGTTTGGCTCAAGTTGTCAACACTCCTATCCCTCACTCCCTCTACAATCCCTCTATATGTGTGTGTGGCTAAAAATTAAAGAGCTAGGGTGACGCAGGTTTTAGCCTTCGGTTCCATCTACCAAGGGGCCATTTTGGTACAGGGCCAAATCATGGCTTCCTGCGCGTCGGAATCCTTTGGGCTGGAGGGCCTGAGAGACGAAGTGAAGTCAATCATATCCAATATGCCGGATGCATTGGGAGCGGTCGCTGTCTAAGTTGCCTCGATTTTGTGGTGGCCGGCGAATCAGGGCCCCAGAATGGTTCGGAATGATTGAAAAGGCACCCCTGAGAGGGTTCCGTCCGAAGCCTTTGCGTCGTTGGGTGGGGAGGGCGCGGGTTGTCTAAGGAAGGCGTGAGGGATAAGGAGCACAGGCAGAGCTTGAAGGAGACAGTGGGTGAGGCAGGGCGAGAAAAGCCAATGGACTGCAGGCTTTCTCCGAAGTGAATGTGTCCATCTTTGGCTTCATGTTAGCCAACACCAAAACCCGTGAGCACCGACTTGGCAAAGTTGCCTCAGACCCAAAGGGGATGGGAGTTGTGGCTTGTTCCCAGACCGATTTTGCACCCAGGACCCCTTGTTGCCAGGGCTTTTGTGCCAAAGGGAAGGTGCGGAGGGTCGGGTGGTGGTGATTCTGCAGAATCGCGAGGCGATTCAGGCTTGAGTGTTCTTGCCTGGGGTCTCCTCCAAGACATTCTTGTACTTAAGGTAAAGCTATGATACAGAATCAGAAAATTGACAAATCTGTGCACCCCCAAAGGTCGCATGTGAGACTTGGGAGTCCTGAAATGCTAGAGACCTCTCAGAGAGAGAGAGTGCGAGAGAGAGAGCGAGAGGGCACCCTTTGGTGGCCTTGTGGGAAATCACTGGCTTTCAGCCTGTCCACACCCCAGAATCCAAGTGAAGTGATCAAATGGGCGTGTCAGAATAGGGAACGCCCAAATGGGTGATGTGTTTTTTTGGTTTCCTTTAAAACCCAAAAAAGGGAGCCTCAAACAAATGCACCCAAGTAGTAACGGATAGGAATCAACCACTCGACTGCAGGGGTGGACTGAGGGCTTGGTTCCCACCCCTTTAAACGGACAATCCGTCATGCTCGACTCATGTTTCTACATCGGGCGATTGTTTCTCCATTTGCCACAGTCTTTTGGAGGTTCCCAAGACCCTCAGTCCTTTGATTTTGAGGGTTTGGGTTTATGACACAATTCGTGGAAGCCAACCTTAAAGAAGGCAACACAGCCTCTGGCCGAAGGTGAGCTGTGGATCTTGCTTTGGCAGTCAGGTTGTGAGGCGACCTCACCGGGATTTGGTGTCCGACGATGGCTCACCGATGTGGGGAAGAACCATACTTGGGGAGCCCTTATTTCCAGTCTGGCAATGCCGAACGTTTTTTCTTTCAATGAGAGGTTCTGCTAATTTCATGGCGGTGAATTATGATCTTCACCCAGGTACGGATTTAACTGCAAGTCGACCGCGAGCGCAACTGTGCCGAGCAGGGTTGCCATGTTTGCCTGAAAGGGGTGTACAGGGTTGCGACGAGCCCATGAGTCTGATCTCATTGACATGGACCGTTGCATGTCCCTGCCCAAAAAGTCCGGCCAGGCACAGCCAGACGTGAAGAACAAGGAGCCGACTTTTGTATTCGGATGCAGCGAAGCTTCATGAAAAAGAAAAAGGTTCGGGGTTGAGCCAAGCATTGTGTTGGCTCTTCAGCCCCAACGCTTTGTCCCAATCCTGGGAGGGTGTCCGCTTAGCCTGATGTGCACAGCCTTGGTCTTGTCCGTGGTTACGGATCGCTCACGTTTTCGACCTAAACCCTAGCCGGGGGTGGTTCCTTCCAGGTTGGGTTGGTTGCTTTGGGCGTCCGTTGGTTTCCTTTCGACCGGGGAACAGGAGCAAGGTTGCCTTCAAGAGGATGGGTGGGTGTTCCATGCCTGGTGTGTTTGGTAAATTCGCCGGGAAGGGGTAAGGTGTATCCATACGAAGTTTGGTCAACACGTCCAGTATTCTATGGTACATTTGGGAGGGGGACTCCGTACATGTCCCCACAAAAAGCAGGGGGCCACCCCTAAAATTCCAACTTCCTCTAGGGGAACCAGTCATGTTGACCCTGGTTTTTCTGATCCCTAGGGAACCCTTACTTGGTGGTTATTGGTTTGGATGTGAATTTGGGGGACCCGTTCTGGGTCTGTCGCGCCAGGAGCTGGACTTCTGGTGGTACCGCATGCACCTCCGGGACCGTCTCCAATACGTTGCGCCCGGGTTCTCGGGGTACCCAAGGCGTCCGCGAGCGGGGGGGGGGGAATTGCACTGCGCGTCATTTTCTGGGACCGGTGGTGGCGTGGCTCGTTGAACACCAGGTCACACAGATATTCCCCAAAGAGGCCATTTGCGCACGCCAGGAAAAAGGAAGAACGCATGGTCTTGAAAGGGCTTCCTAGCTGCTTCTGCAAAGCACCCTGCAGCGCGAAAGCAAGCACAAGTGTTTTGCAATTTCTGGTTTGCAGACAGCACTTCGTGCAACAGTATGCGCAGTGCTAACCTTTCTTTGACCCGATGTATTTGTATGAGCGCGCAGGCTGTTGGCCAGTTTCGAAAGCACGGAAGAAAATCCGCAAGAGCTCGGCGAAAGCTCCGCAAAAGTCGTGAGGGGGTGGCTTTTGCACAATAGTCTTGCAAAAGCTCGGCGAAAGATCGCAGCGAGGGTGCGACATCGCGAACATTTTCGAGCACAGTTCATTTGGGTAGCTAAAGCTGGTTAAATTGGGTTTCTATTGACCCCAAGCGTCCTGGCGCTTGGTATGCAGAACCCGGGGTCCCCCCGTACCACACCCCGACTTGTTTCAGGAAAAGGGCAAGATCTGCAGCAAATTCCATCAGGTTCCTTAGTGGAGGCCTGTGTAACCTTGACAACCTGGTAGACTCAAAAGGCGACCCTTCCTCTGGCCCAACTGTTGGACCGTGCCAAACTTGATGGCACCCTTGTGGGACTAATCAGAAAGTGGTGGTGGGAGAGGTCTGACAATTATATAAACAAAGCAAGACGGGCGGGGCGACACGCCGAAGTGACTCTACTGGTTGCTAACAGGCGCTGTGTGAATAGCATATGCCCCTAATCGATAATGGATGTGAAAGATAATCTTGTGTTTGTGCATCCCACAGATTGACCAGTGACAACAGGTGAGCAGCGGCAAAACCCTTATGAAAGGAGTTAATTCAGGGCCTCTCCTAACGAAGCCTCGCGAAAGCTAAAAAGCTGGGCGCGAAAGCTTGGGCGAAAGTGGTTGAAGAAGAGCCAGCCGCAAAAGCTCCGCGAAAGTGATCATGACAAATGCACGCCCGCGAAAGTGCATCGCGAAAGGTTCCGCGAAAGTGGTTTGTTAGTAGAGGGTTTTATGTACCCTATTTTCTGCACTGCTCAGGTGACCTGGGTCGCTGAGTGCTGATCAGAAATGGGGTAATAACGCTGAACATGTTCTGCGGGGCCATCCTCTTGAAACCACTTTCCAAGAGCAAGGGACCCCCGTCCGGTGTGGAACCCCTCATGAACGGGGGAAAAGCTTGAATTTCCATGGTTAGGCCAGGCCAAGGGCTTGCCTTTTTGGTTCTTTCCCGGAAACTCGTTTGCCTTTTTTCATTTGCCCCTTCAACTAGGGTCTTCTCATTGTCCAGTTTCCTTTCTGGCCTCCATTTGTCCAGATTTTGGCAGTAAATGGGCATGCACATGATACCGGACTTCTTTTGCTCCTTTTGCCTTCTAATGGGGAAGATCTTGCATTTGGGGAAGGTCCACTTCCCCATTCTTTCCAGGGATCCTTCTTTCTAGAGATCCACCAATAAACCTGGTTTTTGAAAAGAACGATGGCTCTGTCTGAGGCCACTGGAGCGGCTGGTGCTGAAAGCTCCCGATCTCTTCGAGCCGCTGAAAGCTGAGGCGGCCTCGCTCGACCCGAAAACTGAGCGGAGTCCCACGCAGGCATTTTTCAAGCTGGCCTTGGGCCATTGGGGGGGGGGGGAGTTGCAAACCAGAGCCATTTTGGTGGCAATGGGCGTTGGGCGCTCAATTGCAGTTGGGTGAAAGTAAATGTCACAATTGCCTCATGTTGGTCTAGTCATCCCCTTCACCCAAACGAAATTGTGCCGTGCCATATCTACTTTCACAATGCAACGGAATCCATATGTCTACACAGAGAATCGAGATGTTCGGACTCTGTTCCAAATTTTGTCTATAGAATGTGTTTGGACACGCCAGAACTCCTGGGAACCTACGACAATTGTAACTAGGATCCGGAAAAAAAACTTTAAAAAAAAAAAAAAAAAAAAAAAAAAAAAACTGCAAACCTAGATAGGAGGCCCCCCTCTATGGGCACCCAGCCAGTTGAGAACCAACCCCCTGGTATATTTTGATCGACACCCCACCTAAACGGGCATCCGACACACAGTTCTGCTCACGACGGTGCCCCCCCTGTAAGGGCAAATTGGTCTTCCAGGTACGGCAAGCAAATCAAACCAAAACATGCAATCAAACCAACCGCCAGCCATTGTAAATCACAGAGCTGCTCCTCCTACATTCGCGCAAGTGCAATTTTAGTGGGAGAAGATTGCAGCAGTCTTGGATGTGCAGGTGAGGATGGATTGGGCGTGTCCTCCCCCGGCAGCTTCTCGGTCATCCCTAATTCAGTTGTGCGATTCAGGAAACCCCAAAAAGGCGCCCCAACCAAAACGACAGGGAAGGAAGAGGACGTCAGCCCAAAGAAAATTGCCACGTTCACAGCTGCAAGAAATGCAAAGAAAGGTGGGAATGTCGGCAGCCGCCCAACTGTGGAAATGGCATGTCCAAACTGGCATCCATATCATTGCATTCTGCGAGCGACCCGCGCATCGCAAGAGCTACCGAAACCTGCTTTTTCGGGGCCCTTCAGGTTCCATGTGAGAGGTCGATTCTCGCAATTCGACCGGATGTGGAATTGCCAGGCCCCGATCCACGTGTCAGAAGACCGGCGGGGCACCTGCCAGGAATGCCAGGACGAGCTCGCCTGTGGCCAATCTGGTTGCGGCGAAGGGACAGCGGGCCAAAGGTCGGCGGGTTTTCGTCTTGGAACAGCACCCACATTCCCACAAATGTGTGGGCCGGTTTTGCCTTTGGCTTTGAGGCTCGCTACCCTTGGGAGAGGGTTCCCCATATTTCTGCCCTTTGGTTGCAATCACCTCAGTAAATGTGAGGTAAGTTTTCTTTTGGTTCGGTGTCAAGGGGAAATATCGGGCTTCCTGGGAAAACAGGAGCACCCAGAAAACATATGGTTCCGCGGGGACATGATGTCAAGGGGAAACATCGAGGACCGGGGAACCAGGGCCAGAGGCTCGCGCCCATTTGTGTCTCACAGGAGAAGCGCAGCCCGAGTGGCTGGGGCACGCCCGGGTGCCTGTCCTGCCGGGCGACTTAGACGTCGGACGTGGGTTTGGGCTGTGAATCGGGTGAGCAGTACCTACCAACTGTCCAAGCCTCCGAATGCAAATGGGCTATGAATATCGATCTGGGGAACCCCTGAAAAGTGTTGGGTGGACATAGATCCCCCCAAATGAGGTCCACGAAAGAGTCCCCAAATACAATGGTCAAGGTAAAGTGGGGTGAAGTGCATCCGGCTGGGTTCTTGAGGACGGGTTACAAATGAGCAGTTGTCTATTTTACAACAAAAACAACAAGGAAGCGAGCAAAGGGTTGAGGCTTCCGTGCACCATCCCCCTTCACCTGGATACAGATAAGCGTGCCATGTACTTGCTTTGAGACAGACCGCGCCTGAGCGCGAATATGGAAGCTTCCGAGCTTCCATAGCCTGAAGGGTAATTGGTTGGGGTTGGTTTTGGTAACCTCTGGTTTAACAGCGAATGGGAAGACACCTTTAAACACATGGCTGGTTCTTGATGCGACCCGGAGGAACATGGCTTTTCCACTGAATCTAGTAGATTCGGTTCGACCTGGTGAGGGGGGAAGAGCAGCCCAGATCAGGGGTCCAACTGAATGTCCCTTGTGTTTCAAGCAAAACCTTCTGGTTGCCAAGTTTCATCGAGTTTCCATCAGGTGATGTTTGACGGGGATGTGATTTGGCTTTGTTTGGAGCTACATCCCGGTTTTCCGGAACGTGGAAAGGCACCAATCCGGGCCCTCACCCAACAACCAAGGGCAGGCGGCGATCCGCATCCAAACCTGGACCCTGGGTAACGAAGACTTGGGTGCAATTGATTGGGGGGACCCCAAATGGTCGGCCTGTCATGGTGCGGAATAGTGTCCACCACTTTTATGAGGTGCCCGACTTTGGACGTTTGGTGCTTCTGATGCTCACTGTGGATTAGGATTGGACCCGTCGCTGTCCAAGAGCACCAGATGTTCCAAGCAGTTTTGCCGGGTGCCTTGCTAAGGAATCCTTAGTTACCTCCAGTTGCTTAAGATTTGTTTTATCGATTTTCCCTTGTTGGCTTTAAAAGGAAATCATCACTTCTGGAAATATATATATATATATATATTTTTCCTGGGAGTTGGCCTCCTCCAAGTCACGGTAGTCGCGACTGAAATTGCCTGGGGTTCTAGGCGCTGTCAGCTCAGAGTTCCCTTCGCAAGGAGCTCCCTATGTTTTCCGTTTTTTATATGGTTTGAGCGCACCCTTCGCCATGTGAATCGAATTTCTTTTATGTGGGGTGATGCCGAAGTATGGGTTGGACGTATGGGCTCCAGAAGTGCCGGCCTTCCTTTTGTCGCAAATATGGGTGTGGTTTCT